AAAAAAAAAAAAAAAAACCCTGCTTGGCTCTTCCCTCTGCCTTTCTGCTCTCCATTTTCCATCCTCAGCTCACCTAGCAAAGTCCTACTCCTTTAAATACCTACTTGTCTCTGCTACCATTCCCTACCCCTCAGTCTTCCAGCTGCAACTCAGACAACAGGACGCTCCTAGCGTCCTTCATCTGCATATTTATCCCAGCGCCTGACACTCGGTGGTCTTTGGGTAAGGTGGTTTAGGTGAGACAGCTGCCTGTGCAGCGTGGAGGGACGGGCTCCTCGGTGGCCAGCACCTGGTTACCCACAGCCGCAACCCTAGCTGCAGGACTAAGCCATGTCCACCGGCCTCGCGGTTTGAGAGGCAGCCTGTACCGAGCAAGCTGCTCACTCATACTCTTGCCTCCCAGCAGCCCCCCTGGCTCGCCTTCATCATTCTAGACATCCAGGTTCCCGAGGCAAGAGCGCAGCACCAGTCGCCAGCGCTCCCGAGGCTCCCCTCCGAGCACCTGCGTGCCCTACAAGGTCCACCCGGCACTCGCCATGGCAACCTCCGGGTGCCTGGCTACGAGCCATGCCAGCCACGTGTGGGAGCAGCTGCGGCAGTTTTGGGCCGATCACATCTCGCGGCGCTTCTTGCCACGGCGGCCGCCACTGCGCCGCATCTCCTCCCTGTCCACTTTCTACCTGCTGAATTACAGCACGCGCCAGGCCGAGCTGGGCCTCGACTACGGAGCGCCACGCATGCGCCTCGGCAACCAAGCCTTCGAGTTCCGCGGCGGCCGGTGGACAACGGAGGGCCAGTTGGCGCCGACCGTCTCGGGCTGGAAAGCGCAGGTGCAGCGGACCACGAGCCAGGTGTTGCTGAAGGAGAACAACTACCTGAAACTGCAGCAGGAAGTGCTCATGGACATGCTGACTGAGACCACGGCGCGCATGCACCTGCTGGAGAAGAAGCTCAACTTCGAGGTGACTCCGGCTGCTGCGGCGCACGCCCAACAGAGGAAGATGCGCAAGCGCGCAGGCGCCAGCCGGGGCGTGCTCATGATCCAGCCTTGCGTTCTGGACTCGCAGTGACGTAATAAAGGGCGCGCTGCGCATGCGCGCCTGACGCCTTTTGACTAACCCTGTCCCACGCGGAACTGTGGCGCTCGCTGTTCCCTGGGTCTGGCTCTGCGCGCGGGCAGAGGGCGGTGTGCGTGGCCTCGGGGACTACCCGTCGGTGCTGGGTGTCGGCGGGGGACGCAAGCCCAAGCAGCGCATCTCTGGAGGGTGCGATGGGGCCGTGGAGGAGGGTTTGCGCGTGACTCCAGGAGCGCGGAGTGGAAGCCAGGCTTGCCTCGGGCAGGGCCCAGACTGGGTGGAGTGGCAGGTAGTGGTCGCAAGCTATCCAAATAACCGAGGGCGAAGTCCCGGAGGCGGAGGAACCGTGGCGCTCAGGGAATGGAGGGTGCGGTGCGGCAGGAGCTGAGAACGGTGTGGGGGGAGCCGAGAACCGTGTCGGGGGTCGGGGACTTTGCACTTGGTCTGTCCTCTGGGCCTCTAGGATCAGGAGGTTTAGAAACTAGGAGTCCTAGGGTAAGTGTATTTTACATTCCCAAGAGAAACTTTCTCGAAACCTTGGGTTGTGCGGCCCCCACTTGCCTCTGTGGCATTTTGGAGAGTCGCGTCTCTGTTACAGGCCTCCTTTTTTTTTTTTTTTTTTTTTTTTTTTTTTT